ATTGAGGATATTTATTTGAATAGGATAATTTTCCATTGTATAAAAATCGCCACACATCGTTGCGACAGTTCTTTTTTTATCAAGATGAAGTAAGAGTCTCGTAGAGATGTACAATCATCGGCCCTGATTTTGATAGCATTGGTGAGTGTGTAGGTCTAGGATGCATGTCTGCCCAGGGCGTATAACGCCCCCCCCACCACCACTACACATCGTGTGTCTGTGCATAGATATATACAACACATACATGTGTTGTATAGATCTATGGTCTGTCTGAGTGCACCGGATGCGACGTCGACCTCTAGCCAGCGGTCGTCACCTGGGTCCGCGCAGTAACCCGTACGTTGATCACATCTAGCAAGAGAACGGCATATAGTTCATACGGTAATCATACAGTGCGTCCTGTAGTTTTGCGACTCGTCTGCCATTCGTCGGCGACGTGATAGAACCGACGCATTATCGCATGCGTTTTGACAGGAAAAGGTTTGTACGTGAAAGTACGTTTTGCGATATGAAGGTGCGTCGCCTATGCTTGCTTGAGGACGTCACACACAAAGAAAACACATGTTACATACAACATACGACGCGGCTTTATTTTTTGCAAATATATATATGCAAGACTTTAAAGAAAATGCTGTGAGTAGTCATTCTATTTTAGATAAGGTACTGGAGTATTTTAATATGATAATATCATGAATGAATCATAGGTGTAATACCCGATATTTATGGTAATACATGGTATTAGCGTTAAATGGTTTTTTGTACACAACGTTGCCTTAATTGTTTGTAAATTTATCAATAAAATACCATCCAGCGTTTTTGTCATTATTGAGGATATTTATTTGAATAGGATAATTTTCCATTGTATAAAAATCGCCACACATCGTTGTTATATATATATATGAATGTGTGTGTGTGCGCGCGCGCACGTGAGTGAGTGCGTGCGTATCCGCGGGAGTTCATGTTATTTCATCTATCTATATAATAGCGTGTATGTGTTGGTAAGTATAGGAAGTAGGAGTAGAACATTTAGAAGAAAACATTCGCAACAAACAGTCAAATAGTAAAACCCAATCATACTCAAGTCGTTCATATAAATAGGAACATAATATTATGGCATTACATAATTTTCATGCATGCTATTCAATAATACGTAATAAAAACACAACCCGAAATACCACGTGCATATCACAGTCGAATACGCAACTAGTCAGATGCGGACTACTGTTTGGTTTTACATTTCCTCCTTCTATATGACGCAATAACCATATACTATTACTTATATAGTAGTCTCATATCATCCTCCGGATACTAAGAGGTGCTAGAGCCATTACTTGGCGCCGCCACTACGGTGTGACGTAACTTATGCACAAGGCGTTATAGTTACAACTCACTATGTAGAGCTGCTGAGGTCAGGGTTGGTGTTAGCTGTAAGGTTAGACTGACTCCGTAGAAGACATATTGTTCGCTCGGAACTACTACTCGGAACCCTAACCCTATCGGCGCCGCAGCCACAGGGAAATATGGGGTGAGTCTAAGGCAAGGCTAGGATTAGTGTTATGCTAACAAATTCTAACCCTGACCCTAACCGTTACTTATGCATGGGGCATCATTCGCGATTTATCATGGTTATACGGATGTAATACTGGGTTGGTAGGTGTTCGCGATAGGCGCTACATTAACCCTAACCGTAACCCCAACCCCCACCTCAATCCTAACCCAATCCCTAGCATTAAGTCTCCGCCGTATGTTGGCCCTGCTTCGTCACGGCACGCTGTGAGACTATGAGTGCCAGCGCAAAGACAGGCAGATTACGACTCGGTTCGATTTCAGAAATCCTAACTACGCCAAAGCGCTCCAGTTTCCCGGAACACTCATCTGGCCTCGTTACACAAACAAGACGCGTCAGTATTTTGTCTTTGACGAAGAGGAGAGCGTGCAGACGAGTCCGCGTACTAAACACTGCGAAATCTGGGAGAAGCTTGTTCCATCGCTGGAGAAGAGAGAGGGTAGGTATATGGTGGCGGTGTAGAGCGACAGCGCGCGTGTCTTTTTAGGATAGGCGAGTGAAAAACACGACTGCCCTTAGTTCGAGAGGCAACGCACGGTATTTAACAGCGGATCACCCACGTAGCAAGCATGTATATATTTTCTAACAGTTATACGCAAATAGTAAGATCAGGAGTTATTTAGGAAATTCTATAGATATATAGGATAGATACATTAGATAGAGGCTCATATTATATAATTTATGGTATACATTTATCCGCTGCCATGTACACAGAAGAACTCACTTAAACATAAATTTCGTTTCATCGTAAAGCGAATATGGAAACGTTTTCTCTTTGAAAACGATCTTATAGGACCCGCCGGTAAAAATTGTTTAGCGATTTAGTTATTTTGAGAAATCCACCATCTCTTTACGGAATCAATGAAGGACGAACTCCAATATATGCATGTATTCAAAGATATCAAATATCAAATATTGAAGCTAGAAGTCTCATAATTAATCTAGTCCTCAAAAACAACTTTCTGTAAAATGTGTCCTACGAATACAGAGGAATTAAGTAGGATTGTGGGGTTGCGAAAGAGCTCTGTGTGATTAACGTTGGATATACAGGCGTACAGTTGGATACGTATAGGATGACTATAGGGTAAATTACTGCTCTTCAATAGCCACGACCTATCTCACTGCATGTCTAATAATGTGCGGTGATAACGTGCAAATAATGACGATGTTTTTACGGGAGCGTTATAGGGAATTCAGCGAGTAAAGCAAGGTGACTTTTAAACTACATTGCTGTACTCGGTGATAATACTGGCGCTGTGAAGTACCTATACGCAGCAATATTAATTTCATGATGGCAGGCATACTTAGCTGGTGGTGTTTTGATACATCGCCGCTCGCTCGACATAAGTAGGTTGCTGTAAACTCGAGCATAGGTTCGCGCATTGCTAGCTTCTGATGGTTTCCCACCATCTTGCAGGCGTAGCGCAGCCTACAATAGCTATGCGTGTGCGTCACACACTGCTTCTGTCTCTCTGCCCCCCCCCACACACACGTACACAAAAATCTCGCGCACATACACACACGTACATATCACACCACACACACACACACACACACACACACACACACACACACACACACACCAACGACAACTACGGCCGCACGCACGCACGCACCACGCACGACACGCATGCCACAACGATACCTTAAAGGGACGTAGCCTTTAGGATTTTACCTGCATCCAGCTGTACATACTCGTATAACAAATCGTCTATACCACGCTTATTTCGCTTACAGCATACCCTAATTTAATTGTTTATAATTATTACAATCCAAACGCTACGAACATCTGGAACAACGGCGCCATGCACTACCGCGGCACGTGATGCACTCGAAAAAGTTGCGTATCTTAGCACATTTATTTTTTGCACGTACAGACGAGCGGCTATCACAAAAGTGAAATTATTATTTAGACCTAAATGCTACTTAACGAACGATATTTCATTTTAGGGCAAAATTTATCATGTTATAATGTGAAACTTATTACGTCTTAGTATAGAACTATAATACGTTTATAGGATACTACAATCCTTTTTGCTTTTAAATGTGAATAATAAGAACACCCTCCGGTCGTAGCCCTCTTGGCTTGGACATTACAGTGGTTTCGCCGCACTCTATCAGATCGTTGACCTGCTTCGAGTGCGGCGCCCACCGTCGTATGTAATCAAAACTGTAGTCGTTTAGTTTTACACATTTAAAAAAATATTTATAATGATGATTGACAATGGAAACCTTTTTACTGTAGACGTAATTATAACCTAAATTAGCCCTGAAATTACCATAACATAGAGTAAACTCTCCCTTTAAAAATAAAACGTTCTTTGTATTAATGCTATTCCTGATATTTACGAATTCCACTGAGCCAGATAAATTCCTCCTCTCACTTTTCATACTTCTCTCTGGACACACACTTTATTTTCTCTTCACACATTCTCTCTCTCTACACACGACACACACTCTCTCTCTCTGTCTCTCTCTCTCTCTCTCTTTTCTCTCCTCTCTTTCTCTCTCTTCTCTCTCTCTCTCTCTTTTCTTATTCCATTTCCCTTTATCTCGCTCTCTCACACATGCATACCTTCTCTCTCCCTTGCTCATTCCTTCTCTGTTTTTCTCATTCCCCCTTCTCTCTCTCCGCACAAATACCTTCCCTCTCACACTCCTCTCCGTCTCGACCGTCCCTCTCTAACAGCTCGGTGTTGTCTGTGTGCAGGAGAGAAGGTGTGCGTCGCTACAAATGTCTACACATCGACACAGTGTCTAGACGTGCTTATTTTCATCTGCCATTCTCCTTCATAGTGCTTCTGGGGCGACAATCGGGAGCACTGCAGACTCTCGGCGAGGAATTCCCTACGGCTCGGCCGGGTGCACCGAATCGATGAAAAATGACCCCACGCGCTCACCGGGCGTATCGAATCGATATACACAATTTCAACGGTCTCTCAGGCGTTCGAATCGATGTGTGCGTCTCTATGCTTCGCGGCGGGCCGCGCGGCCGCGCGGCCGCGGGGCCGCTTACCTTATGACGTCTTGGTAAATGACTTTCTTTATTTTTATAATGTAACGCTGGGGCACTGTGCGTATGCTTCATCGTGCTGGATCGGGAGGTTTCTGATTGCGCAGTCAGTGGAACACTTTTTTATCCGTGCATAGTTTCGGTAAGAGAAACTGTTGTCGATGCGAACTTCGGGGAAGAGAACCATGGCGTGGTTGTGCTGTGTGAATTGTGTGTGTGGGTGATGTGTTGATTGTGTGTGTGCTTGGGTGGGGTGTGGTGGGTAGTCGTGTGTTGATGTGTGTAGTTGTGGCTTGTATTGTGTGCATGCGTGGTGCTGTGGTTGTGTGTGCTGTGTTGTGTGGATGTGTGTGTGTGCTGTGTGTGTGTGAGTGTTTGTGTGTTGTATGTGCGTTATGTTGTTGTGGTGTTGTGTGCTGTCGTGTTGTTGTGTTTTGTGTGCTTGTATGTGTGCATGCGTTTGTTGTGGTCTGTGTGCTGTGTCGTGCTGGTTGTGTGTTTGTGTGTGTGTGTGTGTGTGCTGTGTGTATGTGTGTGTGGTGTTGTCTTGTATGTGTGGCATGCGCGTGTGTGGTGTGTTGTGTAGTGGGATGTGTGGTGTGTGTGTGTGTCGTGCTGTGTATGTGTGTGGGGCTGTTGTGTGTTGTATGTGTGCAATGCGTGTTGTGTGTGTGTGTGTGTGTATGCTGTGTGTGTTTTGTGTGTGACTGTTGTGTGTGTGTGTGTGTCTGGGTGTTGCTTGTATGTGTGCATGCGTGTTGTGTGGTGTGTGTGGCTGTGTGTGTGTGTGTGTGTGTGTGTGTGTGTGTGTATGTGGTGTGGTGGTGTGGTGCTTGGTATGTCGGGTCGCATGCGGGTGGTGTGTGTTGTTGGGGTGTTGTGTATGTGTGTGGTGTCGTGGTGGTGTGGTGTGTGTTGTGGTACAGTGTGTGGTGTGGTGTTTGTGTGGTGTGTGTGTGTGTGTAGTGTATGTGTGTGTGTGTGGTGTCTGATGTTTTTTTCTTTGTTTTTTTTTTTTTTTCTGTGTCGCTGTGTGGCTGTGTGCTTGTTATGTCGTGCATGCGCTGTGTGTGGGTTGGTGTGTATGGTGTGTGGTGGGTGTGTGTATTGTGCTGTCTGTGTGCTTGTATGTGGTGCATGCGTGTGTGTGTGTGGTGTGTAGAGTGTGTGTGGTGTGTGTGTGTGATGTGTGCTGTGTGTGTGTGTGTGTGTTAGTGTGTCTGTAGCTGCTTGTATGTGTGGTGTGTGTGGTGTGTGATGGGTGTGTACGCCTGTGGTTCGTGCGTGCGTGCGTGTGTGTGTGTGTGTGTGTGTGTGTGTTGGTGTGTACGTGCTGTTCTACGATGCGTGTGTGCGTTTGCTGGTGTGTGCGTGCTTGTGCGTTGTGCGTGTGCGTGTGTGTGTGGTGCGCGGCCGGCTGTGCGTGCGGTGATGCTGTGCGCCTATGGGTACTGTCTCGGCGGCTGGTGTAGTGCATGCTGTGTGTGTTTTGGGTGCCAAACCTTTGGATCGTGGGCCAGGAGAGATTCGGTAAATATAAATATTTCAGCTAACAACTTATCAAAATGGTTTAAAAATGAGATGAGCCGATAGGTAGCGCTACTATCCACAGACACAAACACACACGCGGCGCGACACCGCACGCCAGATGCACACACACAACAACACACACACGACACACCACACAACCGACACACACACGACACACAGCGACATAATAAAATAGAACGTCTCCTTTTTATTATTGTATCTGTCTGCATATTACAATTCTCCATCATGAGATTATTAAATTGTTTGACGATATTTTAATTGACGAAAGAATAATTACACTTGCACAGTGAGATCATAATTAGTATGCATTTAAATACAAATACCGGTGAAGGTTATGTTTGTGCCTGCCATGCGGAGCTGGAATTCTCGGTCGCCGACGAGAAGGGTTTAAATATCTCACAGAATATAGTAGCGAGCAGCAATCTAAAATAGGCGGGTCTATTGTTTTGCTCCAAAATTTGTATGTTGATTACCCTTTTCAGCGCGGTTTCTTAGACGGGACAATATGCACCATCTATGTATTTCATTATGCAATTAATCGTATGCACAGAATAAATCAGTCATTCGTCTACTGATTGTTACTCGCGACCATGAGCATGATAACAGATAAAGAAACGACTCGAAAATACCTTTATAGATGTATCCTATGAGTTACTTCGATTTCCCTCTCGACGGTGGTCTAAGCTTCCCGGTAGTTTGTAGACCCTCTGCACGCAAACCCTTACCTTACAACGAAATGTGAGACTCGAGATTTTTAAACGTACGCGTTTACGACGTCCCCCCCCTATATTTTTAGTTAGTTACCGCAGGAGTAGCGGGATAAGTTGCTGAATGTACCCGACAGCCTTCTTTTTTTATCAAGCATGAAAGTAAGGAGTCTCGTAGGAAGATGTACAATCATCAGTGGCCCCTGATTCTTGATAGCATTTGCCGTGAATGTGTTAGTCTAGCGATGCCATGGGTTGCGCAGGCGTTAATAACGCCCCCCCCCCACCACAACTCCACATCGTGGGTTGTCGCATAGATATGATACAAACACATACATGTGTTGTATAGATCTAATGCCGTCTGTGCTGTGTGCCACGCCACTGCGACGTTCGACTCTGCCAGCGGTCGTCACCTGGGGGTCGCCCGATAACCCGTGTACGTGAGTCACATCTTAGCCTAAGATGAACGCATATTTATTCATACCCGCTAATCATTACAGCTGACGTCTGTAGGTTTTTGCGACTGGTTCTTTTTTTGCCATTCGTCGGCGAGTGATGAGCAACCGACGCTCTGTATCGCATGCGTTTTGACAGGAAAACGTTTGTACCGTGGAAAGTTACGTACTTGCGATATGAAAGTGCGTCGGCCTATGCTTGCTGAGGACGCTCACACACAAAGAACCACAAATCGTTACATAATACTACGAGCAGGCCCTTTATTTTTTGCAAATTATATATGCAAAGATCTTTAAGAAAATGCTGTGAGTAGTATTTTTTTAGATTAAGGTACTGGAGTTTTTTATATATGATATATCATGAATGAATCATAGCGTGTAATACCGATAATATTCTATGGTAATACATGGTTTAGCGCTTAAATCGTTTTTTTGTACACAACGGTTGCCTTAATTGTTATGATACAATTATCTAAATACCATCCAGCGTTTTTGTCATTATTGAGGATATTTATTTGAATAGGATAATTTTCCATTGTATAAAAATCGCCACACATCGTTGGAAGTAACTGTACAAAGTAATAAACCAATGGCAGCCACTCAGAATAGTTTATACACCAATATAATAATAATAACATGAGACTTGGTTATAAACTACCTCATTTGGCGGCGAATTTATATATTTCAAACTTTGAAAGATCATATATAGCTGTATTACTGGATCCTATTAAGTAATCATAAAGTAATATACATTAGGAGTAGCATAATCAGAAGAGAGTGTGGTGAGGAATACTAACTCCAAGGAACGTAACAATTAATTGAAATTACCCCAATAACCGTATCCTGCGTTTAAACCTGAATGAGTAATTTATGTAATACAAATTTCTATATTGAGATAAATACACCTGACTTTTCAATACTGCAAAGTCTGAATGCTGCAAGTGCTGATAACTGATATTGGCAAATCTTCGATGAGCAATCCTCGCTCAGCATGGCCCATGGCCCATGACCCATGACCCATGGCAGACTGCTCCGCTTACTTTTGCATCTTGAGTATATACAACGTAGTACGGGTACACACATAAAATATCGTTATTCGTTAGCACATAAACCCTTATGTTAGTACTGCACACAGCGATAGAACAGAGTATATGCTAAGTTGGTGGAGTACCGTTTCGCATTTGATGAACAAATCAATAAGTTATCACGGTTGCACTTTTATGAAAAGACAATATAGAATCAAATAGACTAAATATGCATATTATTTAATTACAAACATTTAAATAACGCGCATCGCTGCAGAGCTACAGTCATGATTGTACTGATGCGCTACTGCATTACAAATAGTGTCAGCTACTGATCAGTCGATCAAAACCATAGATGTTAACAGCGATTACAGTTTGCTAAATAAAAATTACTCATTCCAGGAGCCAATCTTGAGCGTTTTATTCATGTTCCATCATGAATTATCATGCGACGCGTCGACAGCACGTAACGCACTCAAGCATGACTTCAATCCATATTAAACATAATCTTAAGTTAGGAAATCCTGGAGTCCTGAGGCGGCGTTGGGCAGGACTATGTTATAACAATGGCTTTGTAAACGCACGGTCCCTTCTCTCCCTCACGTAGGGCTGGCCACAGGTACGAGATGACGTGATCCGAGTACGGATTAGAATTGTGAAATCTGAAAATAAGATCGATGGTCAGACTGTGAGAAATATGTCACAACAACAGCAACATCTGCAGTAGCAGCAGCAGCAGCAACAACAACAACGACGACGACAACGACGACGACGACGACGACAACAACAACAACAACAACAACAACAAACACAACAACAACAGTAGCAGTAACAGCAGAGGCAACAATAACAGTAGCAGTGACAGCAGAGGCAGCAGCAGCAACAACAACAACAACAATGACAACAACAACAGCAATAAAATAATAATAATAACCGTGCAACATCGAAAACACTGGTTTATTACCATCAAAGTATATCATGATAATATATCCTTACAATTATATCATGTCCGTACGTGACAACATGTTACGCTCGCTCAGTCAAGGATTCTCGGCTAGTGTCGCGTTGAACACGCTATTCTATGAATCGCGTGCCTCCATTAAGTAATTACTGTAACTTTAGCACTGAATTCATTAATCGGCAGTAAAATTTTGATCGGTCCCGCCTGGCTTTCATCTGAGGCGGGCTCCACGAAATATCCATAAAACGTTTATTCTCGTCATTCGATCATCATCGTTAGACGTGCAGTGAGTAAGTAAGCGATGCTGTTGGTGCGAATTTACCTCTCGTGGAAGTTAGCGTTGTACGCGTTGGCGTCGTATTCTATGCAGTAGGCGGGTATCTGGTTAGAGAGCGCCCAGGCCAGCTTCACACACTCCTCTATGTAGGCAGTGAGGCCGTGGCAGGTGGAAAGACTTGGAAAGTCGAACAACGTGCTGTAGAGCTGCGAGCACACGTCCTGCGCGCAGATGCAAACACAGACAGTTATAACAGGAGTGAATAATAATATATTATAATAATAATAATAATTAGTTAATTAATAATGATTAGAATAATTAGAATAATAATCTATTATTATTTACTCCTGGTTATGACAATAATCGTTCGAATAACACAGACAATGATAATTTCAGAGCAGATTGCTGTTAACTAACTAACACTCCCAAAGGCCTTTGAATGTGTTACATATAGAATACTACCTAAAACTTGACTGATACTCGCATTGAAATGTTTTATGTTTGTAAAAGAGAAAATCGCATTAGGTAAACAAAACCTGCTGCTATGAATACAAAGAAAATCATTTGAAAAGCAGTCAGTATGGGTAACAGTAACATGTTCTGTCATAAATGATGTGTGACAATTACGTAGGACACGTGCATATCTTAGTCTGGTTGAAAGACAGTACATTCCGGTTGCCGCTCTGCGATATAGTAGAAGACACCTGGATGATGATTTAAGTGCCTCTATGTGCCTGCGGTAGGTGATGCTAGAGAGGGATGACGGGGTCAATTCCCAGTTTGCCAGGTGAAAATAGTTGTTATTTTCCAGCTAATTACTTAAAATTTATTAGAATCGCAATTTCGGCCTACCCGTGTTCCGGTGGGTTTCTATTCCCGAATCACGAGAAAGTTAATTACCCGGCATTCCCAGATAATCAAAAGGTTCCAATCCCTCCTCCAGCAAATAGCCGTTCCTTCTTCACTATATGTTGTTGGAATCACAGTTACGAGTTGGTTCTTTTGGTTTCATTTGGTTTACGCTTACCAGGAGGTAGACCATTATCAAACCCACAAGGATATGCATGCAGAGTGCCCTCAAGTTCAAACTCAAGTCCCCCAGAGGCGTGGAATAGTATTGTGCGTGACGAACGCAGGGGATAGAGCAAGAATTGAGGAGGTGGTAGTAGGTGAGGTAAGGAAGTAGATGGTAGTGAACGTAAGTGCTATGTGGTTGCGCAGCGCAACAGCAAGTATTTGACGCTCGTAGCAGCCTGATGATAGTGAGCATGCGATCCCGTAGCTCTAGAACTATAGCCTATCGCCACGCCACTTCTTTCCTCCCATCTGTGGCGGAGCGAAGAACTATAGTTGAAGAGCTATAGCGATCCCGATGCATGCACGTACGATCGACGCACCTGTACGTTAGGTCTGATGTCGTATTTCTCCGTGCTCTTGCGCATGTAGTAGCCAATGCTCTCCAGCATGTCCGTGACGGCCGGGTCGGACGAACCGCCGCTACCGATCGACGGGATGCCCAGGATGTGACGTAACGCCGCCTTCTTCTGCTCGATCGTTGATCGCACTGACCGGAAGGATAGCTGCGCAGACGGAGAGCGGTAACAACATGGATGCCATCGTGGGATATTATCAGGAGTGAATAATAATAGATTATTATAATAATAATAATAATAATAATAATAATAATAATAATAATCTACTATTATTCACTCCTGATATTATACGGGACATTAGGATTAGTGTGTGATTGGTTTGTCAGGTGATGTTGGTCGCAGGATCGAGGTTTGCTGTCTCCAGTATCAGAACGTGAGGACAGTTACACGGCGACAAAAGGCTCACGACCGAAGCACAAGCGACGAAGTTCTTTCCACGCTGTCGCTTATCTTTTACATAAGAGGAGTGTGACGACTGACGGACGTGATATTTCTCCCGATAATAATTATTCTTCAAGAATGTATCTCACAACTAGTATTAAATAGTCTAAAATCATAGAAGGAGTCTCAGTACTCTTAACCGTGTATAAGACATCAGGAAGAGAATAAAGAAAAACATTGTTTCTATTCACTCCCGAATACACGAAACCCCAGAGCGGTATTCTGTAGAAAGTTGGCAGCGCCCTCTCTCGCGTATTCTACTCACCACTACGACGGAGAAGGCGAGTTTTGATTTGAGGTCGTCGGAGTCGTCCATCTCCCGCAGGTTGTCGAGAGCGTCCAGGGCCTCAACGCGCACCTGCATGTACAGGTTACCGTACTGACGTATCAGCTGCGTCGGTCGCTGCTCTCCCAGACTCAGGTTCTCGAACTTGCTGCCCCTCTCCAGCTGTCGCCTCGCTTGGTCCGACAATCTGTGGCAGCATGACGTCATAGTTAGTGGCGTTGTGAGCAGACGACGGTTGTACGTACGGGAGAGGGGGATAGAGCGAGCGAGAAAGAGATGCGTAGGGTCTGGAGAGATTAAGAGAGACAAAGAAACACAGAGAGAGAGAGCGCGCGCGAAAAAAGATCAAGAGAACGCAATAAAGAGATATAATCTTAATCAACACATTGATCTTTGATAACAGATGCGTTACAATGATTAAGGTTGATTTTATTTTATGATAATTCCGTGCAAATAGCCTGGTATGGACAGCTGACACCGCGAAAACGTCAGACGTTAATAGCACAGGCACTTGGACCGTTTCAATAACAAGTGCCGCAGAGCGACAGCGCTCACCTGACTGCAGGTGTTCGGATGCTAAACTCGATCACTGGCAAACAAATGAAGAGCACCCTTCCATCACCGCGTTCGTGCTCAGAGCATATATCTAGGATACTACTAATACAGATCTAAAATCTATGATAGCTAGGCTTTGCTATACCGGTAGTACAGTAATAAAGATACAGCTGTGTAACTTTAATGACTTCGCTATATTAACATGTTATCATGGATATGCGTCAAGCGCGAGCGTAGTGGTGGTGGTGGGGGAGAGTGGGGAGAGGGGGCAGGTGGAAGGGGCTCTAATAGCAAAAGCAGTTGCCGCGAGATGGCGCGTGCAAGTGTCATCAATAATCAAAGATGGCATCACCCTTCGTGCGTGATAACCTCACTCCATTGAGTTGCTGAAATCCAAGTATATTCAGGCAGGCTAGTAGATTTCATGGTCCTTTCAATATATTGATAAAAATGGTAGGTCAGCGCTGAAACAAAAAAGTTTTGCACTCGGTCCGTTAGACCATGTCCTCAGAAAATGTCTGATATCTGACCTTTCCCCCACTGCCCTTTGACCTGTGACCTCCAATTTCGCACTGGTGATGGATTTCCTCCCCATCACAGTATACACCGAATATTAAGAGCGTAGGTCGAGCCGTTGAGATTTGTGCCGCAATTCCGTATTTCCTCCTATACCTTAAGTTAAGGGGGAAATATTCCCCCTCCATTGACACATCTCGACCTTTGACCTTTGACCCCCAAATTCGACATCCTGAGTCCTTTTCGCAATCCCCCCCGACGTCCCGAATATCAAGACCGTACGTCGAGCAGTTAAGATTTGTGCCCAACTGTTGACGGACGGACGAACAATCATGCGATTCTACAAGCTGCATCTGACTTCGTCAGCTGAGCTAACAAGTGCCGCAGAGCAACAGGGCTCATCTGGTGTCTGGTGTTCTGCTGATAAATCCATTTGTGCATAGCAAGACGTCCTATACATACGTTCATTTCTAACCCAAAAAAACAACACTTCAAACTAGTGTAATAAAATTCCGATAGATGGCGGGCCGCTATCAAAGGCATCGTTGCATCGGTCAGACAAAGCATTGCAGCAATGGCAGCTGTCAGTGTGACGACGGATTGCAAAAAGCAGGAGCGAATAATTAGTATTACCATAGTATTACTATATTATTATTATACATAACGTGCATTCTATGGTGTCAGATAATAAGGTACATTAAACCCCTTGCGAGGCACATCTGGCTCATTAAAAAATAGCTCAATGGTTGATACAACCAGAGCAGCTCGTGCAAGATTACAATTTACAGCAAAACGATAGCAAATATCTGTAAACTAATTTCAGTACAAGGTAGGCCAGTGATTAGTGGACCGAATAAGCTCAAGAACGTACACAATTGCGTCTATATTGGTGAGCTAAAAATTGGGGATCCGGCCAGATCTATCCGGCCGGATCCAAGTTCCGGTACACTCCTAACTAGAGCCATAATAAAAATATTGTTTGTTTGCCCTCACCCGATTGACCCGCCAAAAAGGGACCGACTAAAAAAAATTTATTGATCTTTTTTTCTTTTTTTTCTTTTTTTTTAACAAATTGTATCACTGTACATTATATAAATCTGAAGGTAATATATTATATGTACCAAGCAAAACAAACATTCAACATAAAAGGTATTTCCACACAAGTGCCGCAGAGCGACAGCGCTCACCTGACGGCAGGTGTTCTGATGCTAAACTCACTGGCAAACGAATGAAGAGCACCCTCCCATCACCGCGTTTGCGCTCAGAGCATATATCTAGGATACTACTAATACAGATCTAAAATCTATGATAGCTAGGCTTTGCTATACCGGTAGTACAGTAATAAAGATACAGCTGTGTAACTTTAATGACTTCGCTATATTAACATGTTATCATGGATATGCGTCAAGCGCGAGCGTAGTGGTGGTGGTGGGGGAGAGTGGGGAGAGGGGGCAGGTGGAAGGGGCTCTAATAGCAAAAGCAGTTGCCGCGAGATGGCGCGTGCAAGTGTCATCAATAATCAAGATGGCATCACCCTTCGTGCGTGATAACCTACTCCATTGAGTTGCTGAAATCCAAGTATATTCAGGCAGGCAAGAATTTCGCTCAGCTGTGAGTTAACACATCTGCATTGCAGGTTGCCAGGCAATAATTATGATTCGAATAGTGCCAGTTCACCCCATGCATGCGTAATGGCTGCCCCCATGTTTTTGCCTATACCACAGCATTCCGGGTTCATTACAGTCTGCTATTACAGGGTGCTACTCAGGTTGCTAATACAGACTGCTTTAGAAAATAATATGATTTAAGGAGCGTAAACCTTGTTCAACAAACATTTGCCTTTGCAATTGAACTGTGCAACTGTAGCTCTCACATCACAATGGCAAAAGCAGTTCGTCCTTTGTTAACAGTCAACAAATCCATGTTTAACTCCTCTTGAGGGTCAAAAGGTTATCCGACACTTACTCTTCGCATGTCAGCAGAAAGTACATTTATGGTCCTTTCAATAAAAATGGTCAAATAAGGTCACCGCTGAAACAAAAAAGTTTTTCAATCGCTCCGTCAGACCATGTCCTCAGAAAATGTCTAAAATCTTCCCTGTGCCCATTGACTTTGACCTGTGACCTCCAATTTCGGCACAGTGATGGCTTTTCCTACCATGATGCTATACACGCTATCACAAGCCTAGGTCGAGCCGTTTAGATTTGTGCCGCAATTCTGCATTTCCTCCCTATACCTTAAGTTAAGGAGGGAATGTTCCCCCTTCTTTTACACCTCTTGACCTTTGACCTTTACCACCAGCTTTGACATCCAAACTCGTTTTGACGATTCCCCAACACCCGCGAATATCGTGACCGTACGTCGAGCGGTTAAGTTTGTGCCAACTGTTGACGAACGCACAGACGGACGTCGCACGACGATCATGCGATTCTACAAGCTGCATCTGACTATGTCAGATGAGCTAACAGCACACCCGAGCATGTAGACATCATGCTGAATTTGTAAAAAACCTGCCCTCAAAAAAAAGCCAATCTACCTACCCAAACTTTTCAGCCTGGGTCGGTGAGGGCAAAACAATATTCTTTAATTGTGGCTAGGAGCCAGTGATGGAGCACCCCCTCCCTCCAGAGAAAGCATCTCTTAGTCGATCATAACTTTGTAACTTTATTCAAGCAAAGGTACTAAATCACCATAAACATATCTAAACAAATTGTAAGTACAATATTGTAAAGACATAATGATTCATTATAAACAACTAACACAATTTAATAACGTTGCAGTCACTTACTCTCCATGTAACCTTTGGAGGTCGAGTGAAAGGAAGCTAGTTCCATATTAGCATATTCTCTCCCATCTCTGTCAAGACCTTCTTAAATGAATGGAATTCCCGATCGGGTGCATAGATATTATCTTGATAGACCTGTGAACATATTAATTATTCACCCAAATAATTAATCATACATTTATTATTAATTACAAGTAGTAATTAAAGTGCAAAATCGTGAAAATGTTAAATTCGCACAAGTAACGTCACTCGATACAAGTGAATGACAATCGACAATGTTCACCACTTAGCAGCGATGACCATACTAGCAGTGATAAAGCGTTGCACATGGTTTGGATATTTCTTCTTGCCACCGTGTTAATGAACTTCTGATCAGCTGACCTCATCGGACATAGTAGCAGCTTCTCCTCCTTTGCAAACTTGATCGTGCGCTCAATGTTCTCTCTCGTCAATACTTGCCCTGTTACGGACCAAACCCTTTTATTTAAAGAATAGAAATCTAAATGGAATACATATATATAGATTATATAAAGAAATTAACACATATACGTGTAACTACATGTGTGTGTAGTGTATATGGGTAGTACCGACAACACATGCACGCACGCACAACTCACACACACACAGACACACACGCACACACGCACGCACGCACGCACGCACACACGCACGCACGCACGCACGCACCCACTCACTCACCCGCACACACACACACGCACGCACTCACCCGCGCACACACACACGCACGCACAGACACTTCAATAAACGTAAGCACACATCGCGCACGCTGATTTCCGGTCGTAAGTCGACACGAGCCGACCGCTGCGTGTTACCTGTCGGGTTGCCTGGGTTGATCACACACAGCGCGCGCGGCTCACACACCTTCCTCGCTGCATCTACCGCACGTTTCAGCTCTCCAATGTCAAGGCTCCAGTTTGTGTCCTCGTCGAGGAAATAGCCAACCTAGTCACACGCGTAATATTAGCAGCGAAATACGCGACAAATTTCGACAACCGGTCTAGGCAAGCTATTATTTCAATAGATAGCATTTAAACATCAGGTTGGTAAGACCAGCATTATGCTGTTAAGATAAATCCGAATATATTAACTTGTCGGCAACAGTTGTCACAGTCTGTCTTGTCAAGCTGAATAAAGTTGTTTAGGCTTGTCACTAGATGGCAGTAAGTGATAGGCTCAAGCAATCGTGGACAGCTATTCAAAGCACCTATAGACCGGTTTTTGAAACCGTCGTTAACCGTTCAATATGCTTGGATTCATCATGAAATAAAACCAACTCGTAACTTTAATATGCCGTACAGACTACGAATTTGATATGGTACTAAACTTCGCGCTAAAAACTGCAGTGTGTACACGCTATCCCGCTCCAAATACGCGCTGGCCCGCTCCAAGTTGGCCCCACTTACGAAGCATGGCTATCTTGGTGCGCACCAAGTTATCCCGCTCTAACTCTGTGTCTGTACACAATCGGTGTCTAACTCGTGCTAAGTTCTGCAATGCGCATGTGCATAGCCTAATTTAGGTCATGTACACTCGCTCGCACGCACGCTCGCTGTACCTAGGGCCCGAAGTTTTCCGCGAAGCGGATTTTCCGCAGAAATCGCGGAACGGGAGGAGAAAGTGGAAAACTCAGTCTTGAAAAAAAATGTAAAAATTAACGAACTATGAGCCTAGGACACACTGCGATTTTCTACGCTGGCCGCTTGCGATCGATAAATACGGTGCCGGGTCCGCGCGGTGTGCGAAGGTCGGGCGGGCGCGCGTCTCACGGCAGCGTNATATACACATATAGTTCGTGCATAGATTCGCTCTTAGCGATCCTCTGAACATGCTTTTAAGGTGCGTGAGTGGTTAAAGTGGCGTTCGTGACTTAGTAGAGAATGCGAGTGCGTTAGTAGGAAATGAATGATGATATAGAAATAGAGAGATAGAGAGAGCGCGCGTGAGAGCGAAACAGGGGGAGAAGAAAGAGAGAGCGAGAGAGAAAGAGAGAGAGAGAGGGAGAGTGAGAGAGAGTGAGAGCGAGATGGAGGGATAGGGGTAGAGCGAGAGAGAGCGACAGCAAGAGGAAGAGAAAGCTAGAATAAC